AAACTCAAACGAAAACGCAAAAGAAAGTGAGGCTCGCATTCTGAGTGTTTAGGGTATAAAAAGGCATTTGACGTCGACCCCCCTCTAGATCCGATGTCTAATTGGTAAAAAAATCAATTTTGACGCTACTTTTGGGATATTTTCGTTGCTTATTGACGTTTGGGGAAAGAGATCTGACGTCTAATGTGTATTAGACGTCGACCCCTGCTATGTTCGACGTCTAATGTTTGCAAAAGTGTCTCGACACAACAGGGCACTCACCCTCTCTAGTGGCCCCTTCCAGGGACTTGGGCCCGGTCCGCCACTGAGGACGCTTCTCCATACTACAATTCGAACGCTAGGGGCGACCGATTCTCATGGTGGGTTGTTCCCGGTTTGCTCGCCGTTACTAAGGGAATCCTTGTTAGTTTCTTTTTCTCCGCTTATTGATATGCTTAAACTTAACGGGTAGCCCCGCTTGACCTGAGGTCTCGTTAAGAGTGTCTTTCCTTTATGCCAAGAATGTAGTAGGGTCAATCGATTGGATTGCCGAGTCTGATTTGGGGGCCCAACATTTATGTCATAAAAAAAATTAATATTGGCGCTTAAAATAAGATATTTTTGAACCTTTTTGACGTCTGATCTGGGGCCCGACGTCTAAAGAAGGATTTGACGTCTGATTTTGGGGGCCGACGTCTAAAGGAGGATTTGACGTCTGACCCTGGAGGAACCAACTTCTATAATAACGTTTTATTTACAAAAATGTCACCGTTTATTTTTTACGTTGGATTTTCGTTGGTCAGACATTATACGCGTGGAGTTAAAGGCCATTTCTACACTAGTGTTGTTTTGAACCATTATATACAAAGAGATTTAACATTTGAGGCTTCAAGACAATTGAGATACGTGCTTCTATAAATAGAGGTGGGGTTGGTATGTCATTATCACCTTTTTCTTTTGTTGCGTATGCTTTACGATTCATTTTCTTGTTAAAAGGTAATAATGTCAATTGTTTGTTTTTCTTCATTTGAGGAGTCTTATGGTAGGGACGATCGGGTATATGTTAATGATGCATCATCGCCTTCAGTGTCATCGTCTGAGTCTTCGCACGATAGCCAAGGATCAACCAAGCGATGTTTGGATTCAGTCGACAGTGCAAGTCTAAATATTGAGGAAAATAACAATGAAGCTCTCGATGTTGTTGACGAGGAGGATTCGACTACCATAATCGATATCGATTTTTTGAATGAAGGGGGTAAGTTGAACCTCCAGTCATCCCAGGTTATTATTAGGGCCCCACGAGGTTTGCATGCGACTTATGTAAAAGTGAAATATGATTGTTTTTTGTATATTAGCTTACCCTTTTTTTTTGTGTGTTCTTTCTTATTTACAATGATCACTTTAATGGTGTGAACAAATGAAGATGCTATAGTTGATTCAGTGTAGAGCAAAAGTGTTGTTGAAGCTTAGAAGTAGATAATTTTCATTTTTTGTTTGATTAGTCTTAGAAATTATATTACATTTTTGTTTTCAATGTAATATAACTCTCATAAGTATAATATTTATGTATATTTGATGTTATGGTTATAAAGATAATTGCAATAGCTTTATATCCATATTCTTTTTTGGTTATATGTACTTTCAATATTTGATGTTATGGTTATAAAGATAATTGCAATAGCTTTATATACATATTCTTTTTTGGTTATACTTACTTTCAATAGTTTATGTGTGATGTCTCTCTAACAATAATTATATACTATTAAAATTGGATATTACAAATACATATACACATGTATTTTTCCTTATATATATATATGGAATTTTTTTTCATATACACATTTATTTTCAGTTATACCCTTTAAATAATTCATGTTTTAAATTAAAATAATTTATTTTTTATTTTTATCGTTTAAATTACCTTTAATATAAATTTAATTATATTTAAATTAAAATAACCATTTCATTATTTTAAATCAATATTTAAATAATTTATACTTCTATATTATTATTCAAAGAGATCCACTTTTATGCTGTGTACATTTTTTCACTTTTACCTCTTAACTATCATTTTTTTAAATTATAAAAATTAATTACCGATTTTATATTTATTAAATTTGTTAATTTTTTTAGCAATTTTTCTAAATAAAAATAACTATTTATAAATTTTAAAAATTATTCATATTCACTTTTTAATTATAATAATTTTAATTTTTTATTATAAAACATAAACACACATGCAGACATGTTTTCACTAATAACTATTAATAAAAAGAATTCTATAGCATCTTTTCATATTAACATTTATTTATCTTATTTATCTAAATTATTTTATTTATAATTTTATTCTTTAAATTTTTAACTGTTTTTATAATGGTATATTTTTTTTATAAAATTAATTATTTTTTAATAATAGATAAACTAATTATTTTTTATTTTTTATTGTAATAAAATAAAAGTAAATACAACATATGTGTCCACACGAATTGATATATATATATATATATATATATATATATATATATATATATAATATGTACATTTCTATAAGATGGTAAATGTACATACTTTTATAGAAGAATTCTATCATTCCAAATATTGAACTACAATATTAATACAGTTTTTTCTCATGCATAGAAAAAGTCACCTCCAACAATAAGAAAACCCATACTATTTCTTATCCTTTTTATTTTTAATATATTTTTCATCTCATTGGCACTTGTCGTGTAATGTGAATATGTAACCCTAATTCCAACTTGATGATGTAGATGTGACTCATAGAGCCCACATTCCCACAAGGTTTTGGAAAATAGAGCAAAAGAAAATCCATCTTAATGTCTCTTTTTGTGACTATCATTTTCAACACAACTTATTTACTATGGTCAACAACTTCAATAAGATCCACTCTTTCTCATCATCAAACTATAACTTTTCTTCAACTTAGATACTTCAATCCTTGTTGATAGCATCAATGATACATTTGGCCCAATTAGGCATCCACAAAATTCTATCCTTTCTTTGCACTATCTTCATCAAACAATACAATCCAAAACCAATGGCTTCATGTTTTAGAAAAAGTTATATCAATCCAAATTAATTTAATAATTGATTTGTATGGTCCAAGATCATAGCTTCTTAGAAAAATATCACATGAAGATAATAGATATATACGTTTAAAATAAATATATACTAAACTATGTAAGCATGACACTTATTATATTTCAATTTACTTATTTTATGCATGATGATGTTGTAATATTAGAATATGCTCATGAAAAGATAACTAATTAGTTCAGAATCAATATATATATAAGAAATTAAACTTATATTTTAATAAAAAAGAAGAAGTGTTAAATATACTTTTTCAAAAGATTATTTCATGTTCTATTTTACCTAAAATTCCAAACAATGTTATTTTAGTCATTTACAAAAAAATATAATTTTAAAATTAACGATTCTCTTAAATCATGATTATTCAATATGATTTATTTTTCTTGTAGCCCCAAAGGCTTTTTATTATTTACTTTCAAAAATACTTTTTAATTTACTTTTAGTATTTAGTATATCTATAAAGAAAAGTGAGATAAATGTTCAAAAAATTATTACTAAAAAGAAAAATACATATTTTTAAAATTTGACGTGCACGATAGTTTGCCTATAGTAATGATTTGTTGACCATCAACAGTTTTTAGTTCATTTATTTGTTCAGTTTGATCAATTAGATAATATATGTTTTAACTCCAGTCATCTCGATTTAAATGAAATTATGTTAAATATACGTAAAAGAGATGTATTACTTTTATAATATTCTTATTAGATTTTGATAAAAATCCATTTATACCTAAAATAAAAGTCCAGTGGAAATGAATTTTTAAGTAAAAATTCAAGACGTAAAACAACATGTTATAATAAACAAAAGGGTTAAATATGTTTTTAGTCCCTAAACTATTGACCATTTCTTGTTTTCGTCCCTCTTCCAAAGTAAGGTACAATTTAGTCCTCAATCTTTAAAAAACGTTCGTTTTAGTCGAAAAAACGATCGTTTTGATGACTAAAACGAGGACTAAAAACAAAATTTTGAAGACTAAAACGAACGTTTTTCTAAAGAATGAGGACCAAATTGTACCTTACTTTGGAAGAGGGACGAAAACCAGAAACAGTCAATAGTTTAAGGACTAAAAACATATTTAACCCTAAAAAAAATATGAATTATTATGTTAAATATATGCAAAAATATCTCATTATGAAGACTCGAAAAGCTCCAAAAAGAAAATGAATGGCTTCAACTTTGTACTCTGATTAATATTAATATAGTCAAAGACTTGAGTCAAGAGTGACTGCCAAACTGATCCTTACAAAAAGTTTCTGCTTTTATTGGGGTCACCCTTATCCTCAAGGGTGAGGTCCCCAACCTGTAGGTAACGTTCACAATGGAAGAAAAAAGTGAAAAAAAAAAGAAAACAAAAAATAAGTACATATTAAATATTGTAATATAAAATTCTGAAAGCCCGTCTAGCTCAGTTGGTAGAGCGCAAGGCTCTTAACCTTGTGGTCGTGGGTTCGAGCCCCACGGTGGGCGTTTTTGGTATTTTCCTTTGTTTACGTTTTTGGCCCAATGGGCTGTCGCTTGGTTTTGTTCTAATGGCCCAATTACTATATGTTTGGTCCAACTGTACATCAATTTAAGCAATTTTTTCCTTCATCTCATTAATATAAAATTTCCCAGTTTTTCTTGGTTTGTGTAATTTGGAACTTTTTATTTTCTTAAAATTAAAAGGAACTTTTGAATTGTACAATTGAAATAAAAAATTACTTTTGAAAGTTTCACAGAGTTAAGAGAAAAAAAAAACCTCCAGGCATAATTAAAAAGTTATTTTTTATTTTTGGATTACATAGTTCGTAAGTCATTTTTGGCTTCTCCGTTGTATAATTCGAAAGTCAATTTCCACTTTTTGGAATAATATCGGTAGCAAAACCTCACTACACAGTGCAGACAACAGAGAATATGAGTGTGTTCTGGTGTTGAAGTTGACTTTCCATAACCACAAATTGCCCGTGAAACATATAACTGAACACTACTTCCGAATGTTGTCCCTTGAAAACAACTTCACAAGTTCCTATTATGGTGGTCCACCAAAACAAAACAAAACCGTGGCAAACATCAAACACCTCAGCCTATTGCAATCAAGGGATACTTATCAAGTGAGAGGAGTGTCTGTTCAAAAGAGTAAAAGAAAGAAATCTAGATTATGCAACCACACATGGATGATTATGATGAAAAGTTGTTTAGTTATCATATGATCAATGAACAAAGTCAAAGACACATGAGTTTGTCTTTTTATCATCCATGCATGGTTAACTTCTCTTGTCCTCTCTTATAAACACTCATCTCGCTTGATACACACCCTGCAATCCATGACAGAGAAAAACTGTATTTCTAAGCAACAACATAAAGATCCAAATCTACAAAATGTCATGTTTGAGACCCCTTTTTGGCTCATGTCAGAGCTAAGATCATAGCATGGTAAAATGCATAGGTTGTAGTAAACAAAGAAAGAGAGATGAGTGGTTGGAGGTTGGTTGATGAAGAGTGATCAGAGATTTGAGATGAGTCCACAGCAAGAGGCATTCCATCACTGTTTAGAGAGCAAGATTGAGGGTAAGAGCCATCGGTGTTCAACATCAAAGCTCTGAGAACCCCTGAAACTGTGTGCATGTAAGCTGTTCTATTTTTTGCCAGAAGCCATGTCAAGCCCATAAGCTCACAGTCTTTGTTGTGGATCTTGGTGGTCCTGTCTTCTTCTGCTTTGCTTGAATTTGAAGACTTCTTGTTAAGCTGCGTAGAAGTAATACTTCAATGAGAATATCAAAAGGGGTTGCATATAATACTTAGGAGTGATTACACCAAAGGGGTTTGGTGCATCAAAGCTTCTCAAATAGCATCTTGGTTGGTGTAACATAACATCCACTCATAGCAGAAAGGGTTTCTCAGATGTGCATATCAAGGCTAGTACACTACCTAATGCAGGGTTTTTATGTGTGGCAATGTGGAATGATTAATTTTGTTAGCAGCCCTGAATAGTTTTTTTGAATGCAGCAAAAAATGTGACACCTAGTATGAGTCTTCAGATGACAGTTTTTAAGATTCTGAAACGATTGCAAGGATTCTAGCAACATTTCTGCAAAAATCAGAAACAAGAAAGACAAATCCAAACACAGATCACAAGTGATGTTGGTGTTATCTAATTCTAGAAACTGTGTGGTGCTTTCTCAAAAATGTGAACATGACAGACAATAGAATGAATGACTCAGAAGAATCAGAGAAGTAAAAGATCTATTGGTGTATATGAGAGGAAGAAAAAGCACACAACTAAAATTCTATATTAAGAAACCATCATTTATGACCAGGACAGGCTAATAATAAGAACAGTCAAATTGACAAAATTTATGGGGTCTCAAGCATTTAACAAATGACACTATCTGTCATAAATCATAACAAAAAAGAAAGCTAGTTTCAAACAAGACCATTTTATTTGAGTCATTTTCTTACTTGATCCAAAAGAGAATTATCTAAAATGACTGATGTTGTTAGCTAAACGGTCCTCTTGATACCAATAATTCAAAACTACAACTTCATTTCAAGTACCAAGATAGTGACATTGCACTTATAATTGCTTAATATATCCCAGCTATACTAGTTTATTTAAGAACTTGATTTTTGAGACATTAGAGTTGCTGCTGGTTTCTCTAAACTCTCATGTGACAAAAAAAGAAATAGTTGCTGAATCAACCATTGGTTCCATCTATGTTCGTGAACCACACAAAATCCAAAGGCGCGTGAAGACTATGAAAAAGCTTAGAAAGCAACCAACATCACAAATAAGCAAAAGCATGTCAAAACTTTACTGAGTACCAAACATGAGTGAAGAAGATGAAAATGAAACCAAAACACCATCCTGATCTTCAATTTTCAACAAGATCCATCAACTTTCAAGTCACAATGAACTAAGCAAATGACACCAAAACATGAAGATAATACCCAAGAGAAAAAGAGTAAGCTTTGTTTATGCACATATATAGGGAAAACTCACCAAATAGAGGGTATTTAAGCACTTAGAGCACCCTCCAAGACCTGGTAAGCCATTGACATCGGTGCTACTACTCAAGCAATTCTTCTCCAGCCTTCTCACACTTGCATCCCCCAAAAGCTCCCCACTTTGGCTAACAGAAAATGCATCTGGGCATGTCAAATGGTGCAGCCTAATGCCACAAAAGCAATAAACCACATCACAAGTCTCATTAGGCTTGGTGAGTTCAATTCCCCTCACTTCCAATGCCTTTCCTAGCTCATTCACACAGGTTTCTGAGTCATCTGGCAGCAAAGGCATCATATCATATACTGATGTAGCGTGGCCATGAACACTGCTATGCCCATGGCCCACCATGCCCAGTGCAGTAGAAGAATATGCAGAATACAACCATGCTGCAAGCACTGGGCAGCACCTGCTGCGGTGGAGCTTCGTGTCACCACCACTTTTGGCACCACCACATGCACTGTTGATCCCATCAAAGAGCTCGTCTGAGAGGGTAAGAGGGCACCCTGCAACATCAGACTGTTCCGGGAATGCAGGGATTGTTGTTGAAGGCTTGGATGGGGTTAGCAAAATGGGTTTAAGGGTGTTTGTTCCAGCTGAGTCAGGGTGGCACAGGTAGCAAGGGAAGAAGAAAAGGATGCACAAGAGGAAAAGTGTCAATGACATGGTGTTAATTCAAGACTGAAAGAGTATATGCTTAAGCTGAATGGAATGGAAGAAAGTTGTTTTCTTTTTCTCTAACCAAAGAGAAGAAAATGTGGTGATGTTAGTATAGGTTTTATGGGTAGGAGCAACCAAAGGGAAAGGCAGAGAAAGATAAAGGGTAAAAGATGGTGGGGTTCTTGTATAATATATATAGAGATAATAAAAAAAGGAAAGAGAAAGTGGTGAGGTTGTGGAAAAAGTTTGGCAGTATGCTGCCTCGTTTAGATCTAAAGTACTCGACCTGAGTAAAGTTAAGAGAAGAGATTGGAACGCTGAATCATGAACAAATCAAACATGTAATACCATGTTAGTTAACACACGTTAATCTCAATTTATAGTATACAAAATGAATGCAAATTTCTTCTTATGATGTGAAGTTGAATTAGACTATCAAATTTATTTTACAGTGCACTTCTTTCAACGTGATCTAAAATAAATTGCAAACTGATCAAGTAACCTTAACTCCATATTCAAAACACTTTTTAATCTAAAGTCTCAAGTAGGATCATGAATTTTTTTTAATTAGATGTTTCATTTTGTTTTTCTTTACAAAACAAAAGTTAGACTTAAAATTATAGTACTTGTATTATTCTCATCATTAACTCTGGACTTATCCGCTAAAGTCACCGTTATTCTTGTTAAAGTTTTGGTTTTTGTGGATGTTTTTTTCTCTCCTAAATTAATGATTATTTTTCTTAGTTGTGTGATGTTTGGATCAGTGTGTGGGAAGACGAGTAGGTAAAGTGTATTTAATTCATGGCATTGTGAGTGCAGAGAAATGGTTAGAGTTTTCACATGATTTGAAGGTTCTTATTGAATATGAGTAATTCAGAAGTGCCCATATCTTAATGGTTTCCAACAGCAGTTGTTGCAACCTTTATTCTGGTCTTACTTACTCCTCCCTCGTAAACCCTAATCATGCTAATCATTTATGTGCTATTTACGTTTTCTTTTTTCTAGTCAGGATTGTGTGTGTGTGTGTAAGTGTAGTTCTTAATATTATATAACTTTAACTTATTTATTGTATAGTGTAATTATCTCGTAAATTATTCTAATCTAATATATAGTTTTTTATTTTTTATTTTATGTTAGTTTAAAACTATAATGCAAGACATGTTTAATTATTAAAACTAATTTTATTAATATTGATTCGATCTCATTCATTATTCAATAACACTTCCATCTATATTTCAGTGTATTTCTATTTAGTTGATTGCATCAATGTTGCATGGTCGTAGTAGATATAAATATTTTTCAAAATTTATCAAAGTTTAAAACTGATTAAAAAATTTGTAAGACCACCTAAAATATTGTAGAATTATAAATCCATTTAAATGCATTCTCTTTGTATGGATGTCTGTGTTCATTGAGTTGGCAAGTAACATTAATTCGTATTATATTTTAAATTGTACATATTTTATAGCTTTATTTTACCCTTAATTATATTTTTAAACATTTAAAAAATATTATAAATGCTGATTAGATACATATCAACAACACAAATTAAAAATAACTAATTTATTTAACAAAGTAAAACATTACAAATCACCCACTACTATTTTTTCATAAAAAGTATAAAGACATATAATATCTCTTTTCCCACTAGTAATAATAATAAATTTTTAATTTAATGTGAAACTAAGATAAGTAGTATCAAATAATAAATTTTTATAACATATCAGTGATTGTAAACAAAATCCTTACTATGTAAAAGATACATAAATAGAATTTCTATTTTTATTTATCAAGGGTATTTTAATTTTAATTATTATTTTTAGATTAAAAAATATATTAATCAACGAAAAAAATCATATTATAATCTATTTGATTTCCCATGTAAAAGATAATTAACTATAAAATTATAAAATTTCTTTTGTTTTGAAATAAAGTAAAATGCCCGTCTAGCTCAGTTGGTAGAGCGCAAGGCTCTTAACCTTGTGGTCGTGGGTTCGAGCCCCACGGTGGGCGTTTTTTCATATTGTTTTTCCAATATTCAGAGGCTTGGCCCAATGGGCTTGGTTTTTACTCTAGTGGCCCAACTACTCACTATTTTGACCCAATTAATAACTTTGTAGTTTAGTAAAATGCCCATCTAGTTCAGTTTGTAGAGCCCCACGGCGGGCGTATATTTTTTGTTTTTTTTAACATGAGGAGGCTTTTCTTTTTGAAGTTAAAATCTGGCCCAATGGGCTTACTTTTTATTATAATGGCCCAACTTATAACTTTTTAGTACAACAGAAAAGATTATTTATGAACTTGTATACTTTATAAAAAATATAATTTAAAATATATTTCAAAATTTCTGTATTATTCGAAATTTATTTATTTTTATTACGACGCAATGTTTATGAATTAATTTAAATTATATCTGAAATATTTGTTTTGAAAAATATAAAATTTATGATCCTCCCAAATACTTTATCTTTTTAAGTAGAATATCGGTTAAATGATTCTTTTCCTCGATTTTTTTTAATTTCGTTTCATTATGTTTTATTGATATTAATTTTAATTTTTCTTTTAAAAATTAAGTTAATATAATTTTTTTCCTTTATTAATTTCATAGTGACCACGTTATTACAATTATATTTATTGTACCATCATTGTGTTATTATTATATTAATTATTTTTTCAATAAATAAATTAAATTAAAAACATTCAATGTAATGTGAGGAAATATAAAAAGTAACCACAGTGAAAACTAATTTGAATGAGAGGATAAAGTAATTTTTGACTTATAAGAGGTTAGATGTTATATTATAAAGATAAAGTCAAATAATACAATCAAAATGACTATTAAAGTTGAATATTTAGCCCCAATTTTTTATTCTTGATTAATAAGGACATGTAACCATCCTATAAAAAGATAACGAGACTTAGAATTTAGAAGAATAAATTCGATCATTCCATTATCATTAACAATGAGCTAATAAGAAAATAAACAAATATTAAAACAAGAAAAAATATTGAAAATATTTTGTTAATATATATATATATATATATTTTAAACTATATTTTTAGGAAAACTTTCCATGTTTTACAATATATTTGATATACGAATAAAAATATTTATTTACTATTTATATTTAAAACATTATGACTGAGATATCACAGATATTTGATACTCTATTATATTTTCAAAACTCAAAATCCTATTAATGTTATTTGATACTCTATTATATCACAAATAAAAGAAAGGCAACACAAGCATAAGCTTTAAGTAATTATTAGAGTAGACTCAAGATTCAAAAAGTAAAATCCTTCTTTCATATATTCAAGAAAAAAAAGTATAAAATTATTTTTTTAACACTTTACCTTTTCAAGAAAAAAAATCTCAAACTTTATTAGTGTTAATTGTTTTAAGCCTTAAAAAAATTCCCAAAAAAGTTAAAAAAAATAAATTTTAAATAAAATTATGATAAAAAAAACATCATTTTTAATTTTGCTTTAAGTGTTTCAAACTCTTAAGTTGTCACGTAATCTATTATGTACTAAATTTTCAACCAACGCAAGTTATGAAAATTATACCAACTCTACGATTTCACAACCAAAATGATATGAAATTGCCCTCAAAATAAGTTTGGAGAGAATCTGATTTTGAAATGCATTCTCTCTTTATTCCAAATGCTTTTACACGTAATGGAATGAATCCCTAACTTTCAAATTATGACTCAAATCCCATCTTTGATATTTCTTTATACAATATCATAACTTTTGCATAATATAAAAAAAAAGGATTTATATTACTCGACAAACATAGTTTTTAATAACAACATTTATCCTTCTAGCAACTCTTCTAAATACTAATAAAATAACAATTACAAACAAAATACACCATCATCTTTAACATTTCTAACTCTTTCACTAAATAAATCTCAAATATTCATGTTTCTTTTTGTTCACTTTCTTGCTTTTTGTTAACCATTGTTAACCAAAACCAAAACCAAATTTAACAAATACTCTCAATAAAAGACACATGTGAAACAAATTTCAAAGATTTTTTAATGTTATTGAGACCTTGTCTCAAACATCTTTTAATTGTAGCACATACAATTATTAGAGTTAAGATCTTCCCTTCTTAACATAAAAACTTGAAGAATCATTAAACCAATGAGAGCTACTCACAATGATATTAGTTTCTCATCTTAAAAAAAATTCCATTTTTGTTGTAAAAATCAAATTAAGCTAAATACTTAAATATTATTATTGAATAGGAAGACACAACCCTCTACATTAGAAATACCTTATTGTAGCACTTGGAGTTAAGATTTTCCCTTCTTAATATAAAAACTTTAAAAACCATTAAACCAATGAGAACTACTCACAATTATAGTAACATCTAGCATTGCTAATCTTTGAAAAATTCCATTTTTCTTCTAAAAATCAAATTAAGCTAAGTATTTAAATATTATTGTTGAATTGGAAGAAACAACCCTCTAGAAACACCTTAGAAATCATTATAAACTATCATAATGTATTATAATAGCAAAATTCCAAACAAGCCATTAATTTTCGAAAATCTATAATGTAAACATGTGGGTCCTAACTTAGGGAGAGAAGAGTTAAATGTTAAAGAAAAATTTATTCATGAATCCGAATGAAAAAAGAAATAAATATTAGAGACCTATCAATTATTGTCCATAAATTTGAGGAACTAGAAAGGTATTTATTGTGAATAATAAATAAATAAAACAACTAAAAGCGCGTTTATTATATTATTTATTTTATTCAGTAAAATGGGTGTAGGAGTGTAGCCGTTGCACTTGTCTAACGCTCCCTCTCTCTTTTTTTCTTTCTCTATAGCTGTTCTTCACTATTTCTCTCTCTCTCTCTCTCTACCCTCACACACACCACTGAGTAAAACGCTGTCAACACAACACTCTTCTTTCAGTATAGCCTTTTCCAGTGACCCATTTGTTTATTCTCAATTTTCCGGTTGAATTTCAACTGCAATAGGTAAATTGCGATTTCCCCCACCAGAAACCCTAGCCATTTCTAGATGACCCACTTGTAAATTCGCAATTTTGTTACTGAATTTCAGCTGTGTTTGATAGTTTCTTTGCATCTTCTCCGCCAATTTTGGGGACAAAAAATGTCAGAACTCGATCTGTCCAAGAAAGTAGCCGATAGGTATCT